GGGCGCGTTGGGCAGGCACACGGCCAGCGTGTCGCCGGGCCGCAGCCCCAGCCGCAGCAGCGCCGACGCCAGGCGGCGCGCCGTGTCGCGGGCGCGCGCGTACGTGTAGCTGCGGCCGGTCGCGCCGCACGTCTGCGACACGCGAAAACCAACAATCAACAAAAAAAAATACAAAAAAGAATAGGGAAAGAGAAAATGGTAGAAGAAATATAGAGGCAAGGTTATTAGTCCCGTGGGTGTTGTGCTTGGTTTTGTCGCGAGAGGTAGCGGAGATCTTGTCCCCGCTGGAAGGCGAGATCCGGCGCCGACCAACACGTCGACTCGCGGGAATTTTCCTTAAACAGGTAACCCACTCGCGGGGTTACATATACGGTAGAGTAGTGCATGTATGAATGTGTAAGTTACGGGTGGGGATAAGACAAAGAAGACGAAGGAAAGTTCGCGCTCGGTCCGTGGCCCGTTTGTTAGGTGCTGTTCCAGCATTCGCCTGGTTTTTAAAAAAACACGGACTATTGCCGATCAGAGCAGCTGGCCGCCAGAATTCTCCTCGAGACAACGACTGAACGCGTCCTAGCTGACAGGCTAGAGTCGAAAATTCTGCCACCGTCGGGACTTTAACCTAGGACCTCCCGAACAGAAGCGCTGCAGTGACAACTGATGCCTGAGCCACCTTGGCAAAGCTCAGGGCAAAAATCCTGCTCGTTCGTCTATTTAAATATTTTTGCATTTACATAATTTCAGCTCAGTGCAGGCGCAAATAATAACTGAAGTTTCACATTACATAGAAAAGAGTAATGATCACATTAACTTCACAGAGTGGGCTGTACATTGAGTAAGAATGTATTTTAATTGTACTTTTAAGAACTCGAAAGCTAATGTGATATAAAGAGAACCTTTGCGTCTCATCCATAAACAAGGTCATTAATAAGTCAAATCTGAATTTCGCAAAATGTCACAAGTCATCTCGTATACTCTGATATAAACAGAGTGGCACTTCAAAATTATTACCTGGAAGCAGACGGGACACAGTCGGGAGCTTCCTTACGACTTAAATTTTTGGTATTGGAGCTCCTGATGGATGACAATGACCCGAAATGTGCAATTCTTTAATATGACGTAAAGTTATTTTCAGTGCACTTTTTTAATTACACGAATGTAAATTTTTTGAAAGATCTCTCACAACCATTGATATTCATACATCCAGCAATTTGTAACACTATTGTATTTGTGAGTTAAAGTTCTTAAAATGAATGCTAACGAGAAGTTTAACTTTTCAAAGAAAATTGCCATTTAAGAAGAGGTTTTACTGTTCTATAATAATCTTAAAACAATATTTTAGCTCTACAATTAGGAATCGGAAAAAAATAAGAAAAACTAATAAGAAAAGTATTTTGGGCGGCGATAGATGGCAGCGATGCGGGCAGCAAGAGTATGCGGCAAGTCGAGACCAAAGAAAATAGAAAACTAATACGGGAAAGCCCGTGCCATTCTGAAGCACAACTAGTAAATAACAAAATTTGTTGAAAGAATCGGTCACTCCGATCTGAGCTTCATCAAAGGTCAGCAGACTCACACCTCCGCGACCACACACAAATATGAAAAACAAGGGATAAACAACCACGCCCACAGCGGGACTCGAACCCGCACCACATCCAACCGGGGCTCTAAGATACCACACGCTCTAGCTACTTCGGCCATTCACGCCGGCGCACATTTACTCAATATTAGTGGTTGTCTATGAATTAATTTTACGCTATAACGTTACCAGTGGCGGATCCAGATAGGGGCATCACCCCTCCTCCCAAAAAAAAGGCCGAGAGTTGTCTTTTATCTATTACAAAATTGATTTAAACATTTATGTCCGAATTGTGTAATTGTTTAAACAACAATATTGTAGAGTATCATATATTCACCAAAAAAATAATATACAATATGATAACAAATATTCATTATTTAACAAAAATCTGTGACGACCCCCTCCCAAATGATCAGTTGGACCTGCCTTTGAACGTTACGTTATAATAGCGTAACGTTACGCTACAACTTTACGCGACTATAAATTAAAATAACGATAAAGACAGGGGAGGGGGTTTGAGGCAGCGTTACGCTCCGTTACATAGGAGTAGGCGGTTTTAGTGTAGTGTTACGTAACAATGATATTCATGACATTTTTCAATACCTGCTGAAATAATTCCTTTCTTTGAGTCTTGTTCTAAAATATTAAAATATAAACTAATTTATTTGTTTTAAAAATACAAATAAATTAACTTATTAGTTATAAATTATTACAATAAATTGAATCATTTTTAATCAATGATTTATTGAATCTGTAAGACCACAAAAATTATTCGAAACTGATATGTTGTATATTCTAGAATATATTTAAATTAGCGCAGAAGACTCGCTCATGGCTTGTGATCACAAATTTTCTCGCCTATTCGTCCTTTTTTCACTCAGAACTTGTTCCAATATTATTGTTAGGTGCAGTCAGCATCACCATCTAATTTCTACTTTATCGTTAATTTTAATATTAAACACAAGTATAATCAATAATTTTATAGTGATATAATTTATTTTCGTCTCCTGCATGTATTCGCAAGTAATACGTAATTATTTAGGGGAGGTTCAAACGCGCGTGACGGGTGCGTTACAGGGGGAAGAGGAGAGACTCAAAATACTTTACATTTGCGTTACGTAATTTCTGGACGGCCCCTAATAAATTTCTGCTATTTGAATTTTATGAAAAATAAATCGAAGTCTGTAGTACAAATTCGGACTAAGCATTTTCATGAAAAATCACACATATGTTTTAACTGCAAAAATCATGATGGACCTTACGTCCACCAAGGGCGTTGAAACCATAGGATCAGCCACTCTATGTAATATATTCTAACTTGTTGGCGAAAACCTACGGTAGTCACACAAGTTACGGTATACTTGCTCATGTTTAGACTTGTACAAGTAGATCTTAACGTGTGTTGGAAGAATTTCGCTCTAATTTATAGACTTGTACAAGTTTAAAGATCGTTGCAAATTTCGATTGTAAAACTTGTGCAATGCTGCGTGCATTTTCTTGAAAAATCACTCATATGTTTTAACTGCAAAAATCATGACGGACTTTACTTCTGGGAACGTCCACCAAGAGCGTTGAAACCATAGGATCAGTCGGTCAGCCACTCTATGTATTATATTCTAACTTGTTGGTGAAAACTTACGGTAGCCACACAAGTTACGATATACTTGCTCATGTTTAGACTTGTACAAGTAGATCTTAACGTGTGTTGCAAGATTTTCGCTCTAATTTATAGACTTGTACAAGTTTAAAGATCGTTGCAAATTTCGATTGTAAAACTTGTGCAATGCTGTGTTTGCGAGAGTTTACTTGAACGTTTGTGGCAGCACACCTCGCGTTTCAGTAGTAGACAAACTGTTTTTGAAAAGTGCGTACATCTTGCAGTTGGATTAAATGCCAACAATGACGACTTGTGATGAGATGCATGGAGTTTGAGAAATTTTGAAGGAATTCATTAATATAATTCACGATATATTCATAATATATAATTCATTCATAGGTAGTGATGCCAGACTTTGGGTGCACATTTCAATTCAGTTAATAAATTGATGTGCGAATACTGCTCTCTTTTTCGTAACCAGTCTTTACACCATATAGAACGATTTCTTTCAAATCTTTTCAACTTTTTTTAGCAAATGTTAATCCAACTATGGCCAAAGCGTCATCCATATCTGCACAATACACCTGGACGCTCACTACAGAAATGGTACCGTTCAAGCATACTTGAGCCATCTGTGGTCATTTGGAAAATACGTTTGTTTGCGCAAGTTTAAACTTGCGCAAGTATATCGTAACGTGTATGTCTACCATTAAGCTGTTACGTCAACATAACGCCGGAAATCCAAAACACTGTCTATTCACCGAGAAACTCCGCCCAAAAATGAAAGTTATTTTGAGAATATCAAACTGCCGCGTTCCCATTGCAAACTGACAAATGATAACTCCTGAATGATTCTGGCAAAAGAATGCGGAAAATTCGAATCTGCAATTTAAGGGAGTAAAGGGAGAAGAGAAAACAAGGATGAGGGAAGAATGTTACATTTTTTCTATTAAAAAGTATATCATTAAGTAATCGTTTATCATTAGATACATTTTATTTGCCGCTTTTTTCCATAAAAACACAGTTCTTGGTAATCATTGCCCTTGTAACATCTTAATTCTATGGTCTATTTCACTACAAAAATGTGCTTCGATAAATATTCTTTGCACAAATCCTATAATCCTGGCCGTGATCCATGGTTAAAAGATGAAAAAAGGAAAAAGAATTAAGATAAAAAATGAAGGAAAATCGGAAAGAAAAGAGAAAATTTCACCACGTAAAAGCTTTGTAAATGTATCTGAATTAGAAAATAACAGTTTTTAGTGAGTTGTAACTTGAAAAATGTCTGTTGTTCATAGTTTTATTTCATGCAATTGCATTTAAGTACAAAGAAAGCTTACTAGGGAAAAAATTGATTTAAAATTTAATTTCAAAATGTATTTATGTTAAGGATGAACATTCATGATTTATGTTAAATGGGCCATGCTTGGACAAGTGACAATTTGGATATAATTTCAGTGAAAATAAACCATTGAAAAATTTAAAACATATTTTGAAACACAAAATGTTACTAGGAATATTATTATTATTATATATGTTATCTGCTGAATTTCACACACAACCCAGCATTAAAAAAAAATTTACAAAAAATGATGGATACAATCTACTCTACCAAACTGTTTAAATCAAACTCTGCAGTGTTAAATCAAAATCTTCAAAAACAGTTTATTTGCAACTGCAAAACATTTCTTATTTAACCTAAGAATATATACCCCATAGTTTAAATTTAAAGATGTTCTTATGTCACAATACTTTCACTCAATTATGAAGAAAAAGAAATGACATAAGCTATACTTTCTGACAGTTTTTTTCACTTAATAAGGTGGTCTTTAATTTCAGTCATTTTATGCTAATGAAACATGTAGTTATCTTATTGGCAACTTAATTGATTGACCAATAAATGCATTCCACTGTGGAATAGAAAAAAAAATATGAATTTGCCACGCAAGTTGTTAACGAACAATACGATTATTGTGCTGTAAGCCAAAGCAGGAAGAGAGAAACATACCTGTCAGTAAAGAGATCAATGCAAGAAAGCAATATAAAAATGAATAGTTAATTTGGAAAAAAAAAATTCTATTTCTATCAAGGCATCAACCATGCCAGCAAAGGATTTTCATTTTCCATCTTAAGGAAAACCATAGTGGGGGCACTGAGCGTCTGAGAAAATGTAGAATGCATTTTTTTCAACAGTTCCTTTCCAAATATATGGAATATTTATTATATCACAGTGTTCCTCTCTTCAACAACTTTAATACTAGTGGGAAAAAATATACCTATTTCTGTTTAAAAAATTAAAGTTGTGTCAGCATCTAGGAGATGCTATCTAGGAGTAGCTGGTTTGTAACTAAACCAGCTACAAACAAGATAATAAAATACATTAGCATCTACCACAACTTGGCACAAAACATCTCGAAATGTCAAACCGTTTTGAAACTTTTTGCAGTGTCCAACTTATGTGGGTCATCCTGTATAAATATTCTCACTAGCAAATAATTATTTTCTTATCAAAGGTAAGAGTTTTTCTAATGAAATTTGATCTTCAACACTAGATCATTAAGTAAGGGCATGTACAATCTTTTGAAAATATAAGTAGTTTTCTCATAGTTTTAGTGAAATAATTACAATATAGATAGAAATTCCTAAACAAGACTTCTCAAAATCTGTTCCAAATTGTTTCATTCGATTTTTGCTCTAATGCAACAAAATTCACCTAAAAAATTCATTAAAACTTTTGAATTTTCGTAAAGTATATAAAGATATTATGTATATTTTTTCACCCCAGCACTTCATTTGATGAAGAATTTTTCACTGAATGGCTGAAGCATTACTAGGATACAAGTTGAAGTACTATAATAATCCATAACTGTTACAAATAATAGAGGAAAGTATGTTCTGTTGAAGCAACACTTGTTTGACAAAACAGAACTGACAGGCTACTAAAAGTACAGTACAAATTATGTAAATAGATCACTGCTTGCCCTTGTACTGTGTACAGCTGTTTACATCATGCAATCTCCAATGTAGACAGAAATACTATGCTCTTTCGGCAATCCTACTAACAACGTGAAACACGAAAGAATTGATGCTACATTGCCATTTACTAGCAGGCACAGGCATTTTTAGACTTTGCTTTTAGACTTGGCACAATAAACATTTTTAGAATTAGTTCAGAGGTGGCGTTTTTAGTTTGAAGTTCTTTAATAAGATGTGTATCTGTGACACAGGGAAACTATTCACTTCCCTTCGAAAACAAAATTTAAAAAATATTTTTGTCCTTATATTTCACGACTTAAGTAGGGCGCTATTTCATAAGGCACTGACTTTCATATAATTTTTTGTATTAGAATTTTAAAATTTTAATATCATTATTTACATTATTTTATTCTGTATCTATTAGGCTTTATTTTTTTTTATTTTCCCCTTACTTTTAATTAAATATTTTTGAGAGAAACTCACCAATGCTGTTTTGTTTTGCCATTTGGGCAATCCTTCCCAAATGAACTCATGCAATGGAATATCTGGAAAAGTGATGTCAGGATATGGACATCGAATGATACGATGGGATGGTGTTGGATTGTTAACTCCTCTTGTACGAAGATATGAGCCTGTCAGATTGATGTTTGGGAAGTTTTCTTTTCTTTTCTTTGTGGTATGGAACAATGCTCGACTACTCCAAAAGTTCCTATGCTTAATACCCATTACAAATGGTATTTTTCTTCCCACACTCTGAAAGCAAAAGAAGAATGATATTGAGTCAGGATAATATTAGTAAATAATGATTTCGCATTATTTTCTTCTTTCTTTCATTCAACTTTTTTAAAACATTAATGTTATTTTCTCTGCTTTGAGTCCACAAATACAATTTTGTTATCTGAAGTATATTTTAAGAATTCCATTATTTTTATTGATGGAAAACTAATCCATCATCTGCATTACAAGAAAAGACTTGTTTCTCACTTGACTAGACCATTCACAATATAGGCCAACATGAGCAACAAAATATTACAAATTTGAAAATCTCTTTCTATTTGTAAGATACATAAAACATCCTATAAACTCTATTAAAGAAAAGACGTTATACATATTAAGAAACTCTTTTACACAGAGCATTATTGATATCATCAAAAAGAAAATTTATTGTTTGACACAAGTGTCACAATTTTCATAATAAGAAAATTACTCCACCCACTCCCGTATTTGGCATGTATTAGGTTTTATCTGAATATTCAGTGTTGATAAATTGAAAATTTGAAAGATGGCAATGTTATATGTCTAATTGAGGCAGTGTCTGTAAATAAGCTTTTACACAAAAATCGCATTCAAAGCTTTAATTGTGAATAATGAGGTTTTGGGCAGATGCCTGTCAAAAGTCATTTAATGTTAATATTACATATTAATATTTGTTAGAGATATGACAGACAATTTTCCATATTTGATGTTAATAATATATTTTACACCAATGCACACATTGATGATTCAAGAACATACTTGTAGGATAGATCAATAAAAGCCTTCTAAATGTAGTGTGCTTACAAAATTGAGCTTTATTTAAATCCCTCCACCTACTCTCTTACAACTTTTATACAAAAATTATAACAAATAATACAAATTTTCAATTCAATATTTTAATACAATAATAAATTAGTAATGTCTAAGATGAAAGTTTTATCAAAAAAAAAACCTCAGTTGTTTTACACTCAATCATAAACTTGTCAATTTGATAATTCTACTATTGGATATGGAATCAAGGTACTCTTCATGATAAACGTGACTAATGAAATAAAAACACATGATACTGTGAGCCTTGTTGAAATCAATTTCTCTTGTCATTCAAAATTTCAATATAAATTAAGCAGTAAATGCTATTGTTTTTAAAGGATCATGAATTTACCAAATCTTAATTTTAGTCATAATCAAATTAACATTTTAAATAAAACTTACAAATAATGCCACAGAGTAGGAACCCATTTTGTCTCTTATCTCTAGACTCCAGCTGATGAAAGTGATTACCACTTCATGATATCTAAACAGTGACTGAGATTGCAGTCACATGTATCATCTAATGTAGAATGGCTTAATCAACATTGGGTTATCTGTACAGTAAAACTTATCTGAGAATATTTTCTTTTTTTTCTTTGATACTATATTTCATAAGTGATAGCAGAATATATGATTGAAAAAAACAATTATTTATATTAAATTATGGTTCACGGTCATGAAATCCTAATTGAACTTTTTGAGTCTTTAATTCGACATCGGTGGATAAAATTATCAGGAAAATTAGATATTTTTGTTATTTCCTTTTCCTTTCTTGATATTTGAAACAAATTCATGAGATCTCGGTCAGTGAAAATCCCTTCCATAATGCGATATTTCTGTATAGTATTCGACTGTATCGAGACAATTAAAGTTCAAATTCTAATTCTCTTGAATTACTTATCCCTACAATACTTTTTTAAAACATGCGTTCACACTTTTCAAGCATAACATCTTAGGCGGGCGGGCACTACTGGGACAAATGAACGACGCGAAGAAGCAGGATGTCCATCCTTATCGAAATGGTATTAAAAACCTTAAGAAATTCCACAGTATTTCGAATAGTATGCCAGTTTAGAATACGTCATTTAGAATACGTCGTTTAAATGTCAAATAGTTCTTTATTGGCACACAATTATCAGCCACAGAAAGGACTTGAACATGATTTCTTTTTTCAGCAAAAGTTTGTTTCTTGCTGGTAGATTGGTAATCGTTGCTCGGAAATGTACATGTGAGGCGATGTGAGGCTTGTTGACTAAATTTCCTTTTCAAGTTTCAAAATGTTTCTTACGAATATTCTTTTAAAGAAAGCCAAAAGCAAGTATGTATTCATTTTATTTGCTGTGAAGTATTCCTCTGCAGATGTTATGATTCTTGTACTAAGTAATTATATTACTGGTGTTTGATACTCTTTGGTTTGAAGGTTATAGTGTTAGACCAAATATCCGCATAATTCTACTGGTAGTGTTAATGGATTGAATGATTTCTTGGGGTGACCAAGTGATATATGCGAAATCTGTGGTTGAAACTAAATTTTATAATAGTCATGATGGGAATTAGTTAAATTATTAATGCACGTTTTTTGAACTGAAAAATACTTCAAGGACTTCTTGAAAAGGAATATCTGCAAAATTTGTGATCATTTCATTTTATGACCCAAAATTTTAGTGTAGATGATTTGCATTTTGAAATCGAGAAGAGATTGCATTTAATGGATGAGTTGCCATTAGAAATTTCATAATAGCTATTGACCATTTTAACACAAAAATGAGGGAATAGATGATAAATAAGCAGAATAGCAAAAATCATACAACAATGGGCATAGTAGACATAAAATTCTTTTCTTCAAAGTTAAGCATATCCTGGCAAAATTTGGACAGATTTTGGAGCTCCGAAAAGAATGAAGAGTAAGACTCGTGATCCAATCGAAAAACCAATTTTTCTTTGACGAGTTCCACTTGATCTACGGCGCAAAAGGTTAAAAATAATTTGATGTATTTGTCATTCTGTCTCTATGCAAAGTGCAAGTTCAATTTTAGAAAGTGGGTCCAAAAATTGTTGTCTTATTTATTTCTTTAATGAAAAGTGTTAATAATAAAATTAAATTGTTCCAGAAAAGGCCAAAGAAAACTTAAATTCTTGAATAGAAATAACAGTTGGTGTTATTGTGTGTGTTTCTTTGCTGCAGCTAAAAATTAGCGATTGTGTTTATCTGTAAAGACATAGTGTACGTTAGGGTAAGGTAGGGATGGATTTTTATGAAGTGTTATTTTGTTTTGTTCTCTTTAGAACAATCCTGTTTGGTATAGAAATTAATTTTATAATATGACAAAAGAAAATTACAATCTTTGTGTCTTCTTCCTTTCTTTGTCAGTTTGGACTTCATCATTTTTTTCCTTTTCCATCACTTTTAATGCAGTATTTTGCGGATTTTAATCATCATCGTCATCATCAGCAACAAGGTTTGGGTCTAGTGGCTCTCAAGAGTCTCTTTACTTCTTGTGTGGGGTCTGCCTCTGGGTCGTTTCCCTTTTGGTTTGTATTCGAGGATAGTCTTGGGTAGTTGTTCTTGTGGCATTCTGGTTAGGTGTTCGAGCCAATTCTTCCTCGTTGAGTCGATCTTCTCCAGTATGCTGGAAATCTGTAGTTCACCTCTGATGTCTTCATTTCTCTTATGATCTAGTAGTGAATATCCTGTTAATGGTCTCAGGGATCTCATTTTTGCAGTTTCGATCTTTCTTCTGTCTGACCTATTGACTGTCCAATTTTCACATCCATAAGTTAGCATTGGGACTGCCATAGTTTTGTAAAATTTTAGTTGGGTGTCTTGTGTGGTCTTTTGTCTTAGTGCTCTGCGTATAGTACCACACAATTTCTGGATTTTTTGGATCTTTATGTTTATATCTTTTTTGTCGCATATGAGATGTTAAATCCTAAATAATTAAAGTTGTTTACTTGTTCAATACTTTTTCTGTTTATCACTTCTTTACATCTGAGATGGTTTTTCCCATGGAATGCCATTGTTTTTGTTTTAGAGGTTGATATCTTCAAGTTATAATTTTTCCCTGTTAACTCGCGGTAATGGGCAGCTCTCTGTAGGTCATCTTCTGAAGTACTAAAAATGGCCAGGTCATCTGCAAATAGAGTAGTGTTTAAAATTGTTTTGCTTATTTTAAAATGTGTGGTTAGTTTACTTTGCCATTCTTGAATAATATGACATATTATTCAAGAATGGCAAAGTAAACTAACCACACATTTACAAACTAACCACATGAAGTGGTTAGGGTATCCACTATTACGCATAATACTCCATAACTTATTCCGAGAGACTTTGTCAAAGGCCTTTTCAAAATCTATGAACAGGATATAAGTAGGAAGGTTATATTCGCGTTTTTTCTCGATCAATTGTTGTACAATAAGTATGCTATCTGCGCATGAATGTCCCTTTCGGAATCCATTTTGGAATTTCGAAAGTAGGTTATTACTTACTTTATTTAATCTCCTAGTAATTATCTTTGCATAGATCTTGTAGGCAGAGTTTAATAGGCTAATTCCTCTGTAATTGTTACAGTCTTGTCTATTTCCTTTCTTAAATATTGGGTGTAAAATGGCTTTCTTCCATTCTTCTGGGATTTGATATGTATTCCAACATATATTTAGTATAAAGAGAAACCTTAGTTTAATTTGTGAAGGTGCATACTTGAATAATTCTATATTTAGTCCATCCCTACCTGGAGATTTTTTGTTCTTTAAATTCACAAGTATCTCTTCGAGTTCATTCATTTCTAATGGATCTACGTTCGCAAATTCTTGTTCTGCGAGTTTTTCTTCTTGTGTGTTTGAAGTCCACAATTCCTTATAGTATCTCAGCCATTGCTTTTCGGGTTTATTATTTATTCGTACAGTGTCTTTTTCATCTTCATTTAGGAGTTTTAGAATTTTGAACGCTTTATTTTGGGCTCCATGTATATTATATTCGATTTCACTTATATACCTATCCCAACTTTCGCTATTTAATTTTCGAACTTCTCTTTTAACTAATGCACATTTATGATTATATGTTATTCCATCTTGTATGGATTGTGTTTGCAAGTACTTTAGAAAGCCCTTTTCTTATCTTCAATGATGTTTTTATCTCATCATTCCATATTCGTATTCCTTTCTTTTTATATCTTTTACTTCTTTTTCCCAAAACTTGTTGCTACTTTTATCATCAATTGCTTTAAGTCTTCCCATTCTTCATTTACATTTAAACTTATTGCTCTTTGGTCTAAGTAGTTGTGCAGTATAATTTCCTTATACTGTCTTGTTGTAGCAAGTGTGTTTTGAAGTATATTTTGTCAGTTTTGTTTTTGTCCATTCCCTTTCTTATCCATCTTGCTGGGATATTTATTTTAGTGCCTAGTATATAATAATCTGAGAATACATCAAAACCTCTATATGCTTGTGTATCAGTAACTAGGGATGTCAACTTAGAGTTAACTAATACATAATCAATTATGGATTTTGTTCCTCTTGCCGCCCATGTGTGTTTGTGGATTTCTCTGTGATTGAAGAAGCTGTTTGTAATTTTTAGTTTGTTAAATGTTGCAAAATTTATTAAGGTCTTTCCGTTTTCATTTTTTGTGTCTTCTCCATTGGTTCCCACTATTGTTTCGATTGGTTGGTTTGCAATCCTTGCATTTAAATCTCCCGCGATAACTATATAATCGTTCTTGTTTATGGAATTCATGTGTTTTTGTAAGGTATCATAGAATAATGTGCTTTCTTCTTTCCTTCTCTCTTCTGGTGCGTATATTTCCAGTATTGTCATGTATCCTCTTTGGATTTTTATTCTAATATTAATTATTCTCTCTGAAATATAGTTATAATTATTAATTTTGTTTTTCCATTCCTTTTTTATCAGTATTGCTACTCCTGTGGATGCTCTACTGTTTTGTGGAACTCCACTGTAAAACATCAGGTAGTTTCCCAGTTCCTTAGAGCCTTTCATCTTTTTCTTGGTTTCTGTTACAACGCATAGGTCTGCTCCAAATCTTTCGAGTTCGGTTATTATTTGGATTTCTTTGTGTATCAAACCTCTAACATTCTAGGTTGTGATTTTCATTTTTTCCGTCTTCTCAGATCATTTATCCTTTTTCGTAGTATTGTTATCTTCATTTACAGTCCGGCTATTCTCTTGAGAGTTGTCAGTAAGGTAAGTTTCCCCTGGTTGCGTTACGGGCGTCACGCAGTGATAGTTTGGTGGTGGGGCTGCCACCTTACTGCCTACAAACTTGCAGGGCAGATTCTTCGGGTTGCTCTCCCCAGACGCATTGCCTTCTCTATGACTCTTGAGCTGTGTCTGCCCAGTGATTTTTCTTGATGTTGAGGGCCTCTTCTGGAGTACTTCTTCGTCTGACCCCTCTCCTTCGAACTGTCTGGCAAGGGTGGCTCTGCCAGTAGCTACGCTACCGCCGGCCTAGCTCTCAGGGTCATTGGGGTACGCAAGCTCCACCACCAACGACAAGGTCATGTACTCCCAAGGTGGAGTGCAGATTTTAATATTATTTTAATAGTACTTGTTTCACATAATATTTATGAGATGGAACAAAGTTTCTCCTCATAATTCCTGAGTAGCCTATTCGATTTCTTCACTCAGAAATTGTAAAGTGTGTAATGTAAGATTAATGTGAAGCCTCTCAGCAACATGAACAAATAGAATATGAAATAGAAATCTTGAACAAATAGAAGAAGTGTCGATTACATCAATAACATATCCAACAGCTTCAGTTGTTCATCTGAACTGGTTTTGATCCCTTTTTTAAAATAATTTTTCTTTTCTTTTGGTGTATTTTTAAATCATTTTAAGTGCATTTTATTGATAAGTTTTGGTGATGTTTAAGTTTGATGTTTTAGGTCATGAAAATCTTCCCCATATAACATATTATGCTGCTCTGTGTTGTGTGAAGTGGTTAATATATTTCATTGAAAATATATTAATACATATTTTGAATTTCAGACATGTAATGGTTCTTCTGCAGAGCGTTGTGAGTGGTCATAAAGTTACACACATACGTGAAAGACTTGCAGAGAAAGCTGAAATTATTCGTTATGATCCATATTGTAAGTATTAGAGAAGATACAATAACTACTTGTTTCTTTAAAAATGTACAGCCTGAACATTGTATTGTTCAAACTCCTCTTTTTGCATTATATCAATGGGAATACATGGTCAAAATTAAACACATGATTTTGTTTATTAATTTAAAATAATTAAATAAAATGCAATCTGCAATTAAGTATTATTGAATGGCTGGTATAGAAATTTCTTGCATCTTCCTCTTAGAGCAATGTGATGAATATATGTTTAGGGCCTGGATGTTTGACGTGTCATTATTTATCTTTTTTATTTTATTTCTGTGTAAAGTATAAAATAGCCTTGATTTTATCTACAGTGACTAAAATCATGCAATTTTCGCATGTCATATACACTCATATTTTGACTTTTTTTTAACCCTTTGGTCATTATCTATTAATTTTTTATGTTGTCATGTTTTTCCATGAATTTTTTGTCATATTTTTATCTTTTGATTATATTTTCGCATACTTATTTGTAGTCGCCCCAAAGAGACTTTTCACACCTCCCAATTGTTATTTAATTTCTTACTACTGTACTACCAAAGATTTGTTGAGTCATGTTTCTAGTCACATTTTTATATTTTTTAGGTCATAAATGCTTACATATTTCTAACATTTTTAGGTCATAAACATCCAGGCCCTAGATATGTCTTAGTTCAGACCTGCGATCAATTACACTGACATGCTCTAAAGCAGTTAAGTGTCTTTGAAGACTGGACCACTACAAGATGTAGTCTTTCACTAGTCAGATGAATCGAGCATTATAAGAATGGATACAAATAATGTTGATGAGCCAACAACTTGGTGTAGAACATGTTTTATGGAGTAGTCCTCCATTAGGGCTAGAAAAAACCAAACCGATATAAACCAAAATCGTTAAGTGTTAACCTTACTTTAAAAGCAGAAACATTTTGATTAAAACAACAGTTTTCAAATTTATTATTAAACTGGTTGAAGTACCTAGTGTTGCCCAGGCATTTATTACAGTAAATTATTAGCCAGGAAGAGAGATTCCATATATTCATGCCCTGAGGCAGAGCCTACTTCTATCCTGATGACATTGAAGGGACAAACTTTTTTACGCAGAGTATAAACAAAATGTTATGAGTTGCATGAGTACGCTAGTTTACATATCTCAAGTAATAATGCCATAAAGTAATTGATGAATCATAATCATAAAAGTAAGTGAAAATATCTGTGCAGAAATGCTATTGCCTTTTTTATAATTATTTTGAAGATGACAGGAGTACATAAGTTGAAAGTCGTAAGTACTAGTAATATGTAGTATAAAGTTATTTCTTTAGGTAAACTAATTCTTCATATTATTGCAACATCAGAAGAATACTGATCCACCAACATGTGCATAGTGTGAATACAATAAATTGAGAATGTACTGAACCACTTAACAAAACAAAATTAGCTTCATTATGTGATCTGAAGTGCTGTAAACTATGGATCTTGAAATGTGAATAATAGAAGCCAAGGAATCCACAAATATTTTTAGATAAATTAATTTTTGCCTATTCTTTTATAAACAAAATGGATGAATTCCTTCTTTGGAAGCCATTTATGTGCAAAACAACAGCCTAGATTAGTCTTAATATGTAAAGGATCATTGCTTAATCACACACTACTAATCTCCCGCACATATTGAAAAAGAAGTTCAACAGGATTTACACAAAATATATGAACTTTTTCCATTTTACATTTGAACGTGAGAGCTGTGTAAATAAGCAAATTGAGAGTCATAATGAAAAGCTGCCCTATTTCCTTGAGAATTATTCATATTCGCTGTAATATTTTCAATGGTGCGAGTGTCTTCAACGAGTTGCTCTTGCTTCTGAGTAGCCGATTCAGAATTTTTATAGACTGCCCATCTCTTAGCACTGGTAGTTCGTTTTGACTACTGTGATGTTGGTTTTGGCATTGTTTCAAGCAATTCAGGGTTCACAAATTTCTGTAAAAGAAGAGGTTGTTTAGAAAGTTTACGATATTACTTGCACACCTTTTCTTGAATGATGGATTGACGAAATGCTGGTAGAGTGGGGGTATTAGTTACGAAATTTTACGAAGCCATTTCTCGAGAATTGAGCTGCAAGCTTTTACCTTTAACTGTTTATTGTGTCGCAGGAAGGGGGAGCTATCGTTCAAGAAAAGTTGTGCGAGTAGTACTTATGTATTGTACATTACTGCATATTGTGTACTGTATGTTATTGTACTACTTTTCACTCTCTCAAAGTACCTTAATTTGTAAACACTTTCAAACTCACAATGATTTCTTGCGGTTGTTTGTGTGTGTATAACACAGTCTAAGGACTCTGCATGTTCATTGGCATTGTTTAGTACTTTAGTTACAGCTGACTTTCAAATTTTCAACCAAGAACTCTCAGAACAAACAAATTACCAGTATTCACACACGGACATTATACAGCCTTATTCAAACCCCAATGATTTTTTGTAAAAATTTTGGACATTGTTAAAATATGTAGTAGATCTCATCCTCTGGTCATGCACAGCTAAACTATTGATATTGGTGCACTCTTGAATCTGTGATGTAAAGCTAGGTAAAAAAGTCCAGAAAAGTTATAATTTTGCAAAAATATTAAGATTTATGATTATCAATCATGGCCTATAGTACTCCAGACATTTAAAGGAAGCTATCTCAAATGGTGTAGTAGATTCAGAGATTATTGCACTGTAAGTCAACTGACTATTAGTTGTTGTTGTTGTTGTTGTTGTTGTTTTTGTTTTTTTTTATTTTTTATTATTATTATACCACCCTAATGAAAATGTTATAATAATATAAATGAAATATAATATATTCTTTATATCAAATTGGTAATTGATAAGGTTTTTTTATCTGAGAAGTTTTTATTTTACAAATAGAATATTTAAAATACAAATGAATATTTATATATTACAAATAATAATCATTGGTTTTTTTAAAAATAATCTGTAGTCCATAAGTCATGAAGAGGACCACCAAGTAGCATCTCTGCGTATGTAAATAAAGATATTGTCTTGTATCAATACTTTTTATTCAGCTTATGATCATTTCAATCGCATAGCGATCATCCTCAGAGCTAAAATTTGAAATACAAATATTATTAACAGGTTGTAGTTATTGTATGCAAGATGTGTAAGCAATGTGTACAACAATGTATGTACGACCCAGTTTGCTTACGCATCTTGCATACAATAACTACAACCTGTTAATAATATTTGTATTTCAAATTTTAGCTCTGAGGATGATCGCTATGCGATCGAAACGATCATAAGCTGAATCAAAAGTATTGATACCAGACAATATCTTTATTTATTTATCACTTTGCTAAGTATTCTTTCATTAACTTTGTGGATGTTATATTTTTTTAAAAGTTATACATTAAATCCCAATGTAATTTTGTTAATGTTTTTTGTTTCAGTAAATATGGAGTGTGTGTACAAAGAGTTCAAGAAAATTAGAAGTGTGTGAAGTTGAATTATTTTCGTAAGTTAGTAATGTATAATAATTTAAATAATGTTTTAATATATCATTTCATTAATGAATAAAGCCTTTAAAAACTTATTTGTAATTTATTTATCTTTATGAATTAATAATACATTTTTGAAAAATTAATTGTCAACTGCTTGTGGAAATTGAATATGTAGAAAACCTGTCGTCAGCTGTAACCAAAACTTTTACAGGCATGATTGCAGAGGCCTGAGAGAAAACAAGAGGCCTGAGATCAATCTACAGAGGTCACAAATTTCATACATATTCAACTGCCTCATCCCTGATTACATGAATGCAATTCATTTCCACATTCAACATGAATTATAGCAGTTTTAATTATCAGCAAATACATTCATTTGTTTTAAATGGGAAAACATATTGGAACAAGCTGCCCTCCCTTCTGGGCACTATTGCATGAGTGTTGCTGCTATTTGTCACTTGACTAAAATTCATTGAAAACTATGACATGCATTTTCCTGTTTGGTAGGAAAATTACTCATTTTCTATGGGAGTTAAGTGTCACCTATCACACTTGCAACTACACACACACTTATCATTAATAGAAATTAACTTTATATATATTTCATAGAATCCACTTTAAACAGCTAGATAAGTTTTGGGAAAATTCCTTGTAAAGTTTTTTTGGAAAATTGCCATTTGGGGGAATGATTGTTTTGTTCAGAACTATAGAACATGCAGTAATACACACTGAAATTTGGGCTTAGCTAGAATTGAATAAATATTTTAAAAAATCTACTTGAAAGGTGAATGAAATGTAATTCCAGGCATATCTTCACCCTTAATGCCTGCTGTATCATGTATAAATCCTTCATCTCGGAAGATGAACAAAAAGGAATGATCCACTTCATCTTAAACTTTTATGCTGAATTTATTGTATATACAATGGTGAATAATATGAGATCATTAAATTTTCACAAATGCAATGTTTGATTTCATATCTCATGTGTTTAGAGCATGTGATTGGAAACCAAAAAGTCCAGGGCTTGTGGACACTTCATCAGGTTCCTCCAGAATTAAATGAAGTTATTACTTATTATTACTGTGATGTTAACCGCTATGTCCGATTGTGACAGGGATATGAAATTACCATTTGGTCTGAGTTTGTCGCTTCATCTCCATTATCACTTTTCACACCCATGAATTCAACACTGTTGTATTTATTTTGCTGCGTGAACAGCAGCCTGGCTGTAGGTTCTCTGGTAAACATGCTCTGATTATTTAACATTTGTTTAAATTAAACTTTAAATTGCACATTCGTGATATTACTTTAACAAGATTTTGTAGGTGTTAATTAAAAACATGATTTTAACTAGTAAAAATATACTATTGTTAATAGAATTTTGATACAGGATTAATCAGAAACTCTCAACGCGCTTTGTTTATGATACATTTCCTATGTACTACGACTGCACACTTTTCTTCCTTCTGTCTTGGTTCCTGATACTGATTACAAAAATGTCTTAGAATGCGCATATCATTGAGTTGTGCTTTCTCCGCGCTGACACCAGTACCTGCGAGCGCCCTTCACCAGCAAAGAGAAGGGAAGGTAGAGGTCCCTGCCGCCCTCGTCGGCGCGCCCCAAGATGTTCTGCTCGTGGCTCAGCACTCATTGTCCACCGCCCAAAGTTCACATCGCGCCGGCCTCAGTACTGCGAGACCCTCTAGTAAACATCTTTCGATTTACCGTCCGGATGCAATTTAGATATCACGCCTGTGGCTCCAAACAGCCCAATAGTTGTATGCCAACATCATCACTGTTTCCACCGCATAAGTCAACTTCGTAAAAACTAGGTTCGGAGAGTATTTTGACCGCTTAGTGGCATCTGCCACGCCTACTTCCGTGAGATGTCCGCTTCATCTTATCTCGTCTCTCCCTCCTTACTCGACCCTGGTCAGTTCCAATCTCCCTCTTCGGGTCCTTACTCGATCCTGGTCAGTTTCAATCTCCCTCTTCGGGTCCTTACTCTATCCTGGTCAGTTTCAATCACTCTCTTCGAGTCCTTACTCTATTCTGGGCAGTTTCAATCTTCCTCGATCCTGGTCTGTTCCAATCCCCCTCTTCGGATCCTTCCAGCAACACAATAGCGCGTTCGCATCACCGCAAGCAGAACACTTAAAAATGGCAGCCTTCACACTTGAGCACTCCGGACGCTCGTCCGCGCCACCGCCAGCAAAACAGTTTTAAATAGCCTTCACACTTGAACACTCTGGACGCTCGTCCGCGTCACCGCCAGCAAAACAAGTTTTAAATGGCAGCCTTCACACTTGAGTACTCGGGACGCTCGTCCGCGTCACCGCCAGCAAAACAGATAGCCAGTCGAAGTACTTAGGGGCGGCGGAGACCCCCTGACCTCTTTCCATCGCTTGAATTCTCTTCTGTTTTGCTTGTGGCTAATTATATTTCTTGACATCTTAAAACTATAATTTTTGTTACTAATAGCACAGAGAGTAAATTGAATCTAATAGTTTAAGAATGATAAATAAAACATACTGTCTGGTATCAACAATTTATTTATTCCATTTATCGTTCTTAAATAATATAATGTATCTACATCACCAGCGATCTCTTTAATGAAACTAATAGTTTTTTAGAAATTAGCTTTTTTCTGTAGGTAGTCGTACTTTCCACTTAAGGGACCTGAAAAGACCCCTTTTGTTCCGTGACTAAGTGAAAGTATTTATGTAAGAAAAAATTTACCGAATTCGACAATGGAATCCCTCCATACTTCCACTTTACGACACCGTCTCCTGAGTTAGTAGATGTTCAATACAAAATTTAGTTGTTTCTCCCACAAGTGCGTACACGTTCATAGTGTAAAGTGGCGACCTTCAAATATTAATCTTCCTTCAGTGAATATGTAGAAAAAATTGAATTAAGAAGAGCTTGATTACATGCCGAAGGGAATTATTTTTAGTGGAAAATGTTATCCTTTTTCACAGCAATAATGAGTATTCATAGTTACGAAGACATTCGATGGTGCATGCACTTTGATGACAAGCGAACGTCGGTGTTCTTTGATAAAGTAAATGCGGAATACGCCTGCTGAATATGGCTGCAGGTATTATGGGGTTGTGGTGGGGATAATGGGTTAGCATTGAACGGCAGCATCTAGGTAAAAAGAGGAGCCCTTGGCTAAAAATTTGTCAACAAACGTGGTGTCCCAACTCTTAAACTTAGGATACAACTTTATTGTGAATAATTATTTTCACGTCCCTAATTGCAGAGTTCTTGTTAGAAATAAACGTACATTGCTCAGAAGTTTGTCAAAACACAAAGTAGATTCAAAATAAACTGAAAACCAGTAACATACAATTTTCTTCTACTGTTTGTGTTTGCTCATTTCTCTATTTTCCAAATCAAAAGGAAATTATATTATTTACTTGCCTAGGTCCATACATCACACTCCGCAATTAATTAATCTTGAAAACATGAAACCATGTGATATTATGCAAAAAACAAAATATGAGATGATGGATCAGATGCTTAATGACCACATCAAGACAAAAAAGTATACGTGTTCAAGCTTTATCGCAGCGAGCCTGCAGGGCGCAAAACTGACCAAGCTGACGCGATAGACAATTGTGACGAAAAGCAGCCAATTCCAATGACACCGTTGGCATGCATTGTTTAAATCAGTCGAACCAACTGAGGCGGTTCGTGACGCACATGAAGCGGAAGACATTCGCGCGTACCGCGATTTTAGTGGTTGTTGATGCTCAATACTTTAAGGCTCTTACAGATCGGCGGAATCCGCGGGACCGTTTACACCGGAGCGTCAATTATGGCTCAGCGTTTGGGGAGCGAAGACTCCCGAAGACGGAGAAAGTTACACGAAGCTCGAGCGGCAGCGGAAAAAATGCGTTCCAAATCCGCAGGTAATAAAACGCTGCCAATCCGCTGCCGCGAGGGTCTGAACGTGCTCGTAATGCTACACGTGACGCGAAATTTCCGCTGCGGCCATTCCGCGTAGTCTGCGGATCTTCCGCGCCGATCTGTGGGTGTACGCGTGCGCAAATATTTGTAGTAAATGTGAAAACAACTCCCAAGACAGATGTCACATATCTTTCTCGAAATTCAGTAGAATAGAGTAGGAAACCATTCTAACGCCGATGTGGTGATGACAGCCTAATTGTTCCATTTGCGGAGACCAGAACCATTGGATGCAGTTTATTATACATCGGTTTTTATAACGTGGCGTTTCAGGGCCCGTCTTCACGATGGAATATCTCTCTGCATTTCGCGTCTTACTCGGTCGTGCCGCAAGGATCGCTATCACATCAATCAGTGCGATGTGTCTTGTAACTCACCCGTGAGAGATGTGAAATGCCGTGAGATATTCCAATATAAGACGGGTCCTGATTCACCATGTTATAAAAACTGGAGTATATCGTCGGTGACATTCGAAACTCTCCCGGCGAATGTTATACTACGCATTTTCATGCGAACAAATACTACAGTAGATAACATATTAATCCACGATTTTTTTTTGGTTTTATTCCTTGTTTTACAGCTGTATACATTTACAAACCGACTCGAAACACATGTAATTTACACTCGCCAGTCATCGTCAAGTTAGTGCACATCCCCGACCTCGTCAATGTTTTCCTCTCCTTGTCCCAATCTTTTCTTGACACGAATATCTGTGGGTACCGCATCTTTATCTAACCACATCGTATCCCCTGGTTTTTCGATGGCGTAGATCGGCCCTTCCACCAGCCCGATCCGAGGGCGACTCCTGAAGGTCACGCGAGCTCCTGCAGCGGCCTCCTGCAAGGCTTTCGTCATGATGGTGGGAGGCAGGGCCAGCTGCATCACGGCCGCGTCGGAAGACTCGAAGTGGAAGGAAGGCTTTTTGCGAGGACCTTCCTCTGGGCGAATGTAGTACTCGTCGATCACTTCCCGGGGAATGCGGTTCAACATGATTTTAGGGAATGTGGTCAGGATATCCCACGCGATATCCAGGGATTGAAATACACTTCGGTTTTCTAAAATTTCTTGGGATATGAATTGCTTTTCAAACTTTTTCAGAAAGTCCAGGTACAGATGATCTTCAGGTGACAGCGCCTCTTCACCGACTACAGCTTTCATAGCCTGAAAAACGCAAAGCAGTTTTCGTATTTCGAACAAGAAATGTAAATCAAACAATGATTGATGTAAAGATTGATTAGGTATTCCCGGCGCATCAATTCCCAAGATCATTAGTCTCGTAAGTGCATGCTTTCATCACGATAAGTGGTGGTAATTTTTTCCCGCCGGATATCCGGCGTGCCCGTCAGTTTGCGGGGTTCCTCCCAACATGGTATCTCCGACAATTGGGACACGCTCTTAATCCTCACGAGTCTCCCGGCATGTGTGGTAGTATAGTGCATGTTAGTGTGTGAGTGTATAAGGGATGAGTGTAAGGAAGCCGAAGGTGAGATCGCGCGGGGCTCGTTTGTTAAGGTATTGCTCCAGCAATCTCCTGGTATTGATCGGAGATACCACTGGCAATATACTGTAGTGCGAGCTAACCTCGTGCCAGCTATTTGGAGACGCACAACAAGGGATTAGCATCAGGAAACCGCTTCGCTACAGGAGGGAGAGAAGGGTTTTTTCCTAAAAGCAAGCACGTGGCAATGGGGGACATGAGACTTTGGGGTCCTCCGGTCTTAAGGAACGGAGACCCAAACCTCAAGGCAAGCAGATGTGAGCTGCGGAGGCGGCGTGACGTAGTAGGCCACAAAATAGAAACTGCTGCCAACGATACTTTAAACGTGCGTGAGTTCGCGGGTCGCAAGCAGGACCATAATGTTACAAAAGATAACGTCTACGTTCGCGCTTTCTTCAGAGATTTCTTACAAGTAGAGATTATGAATCTGTTTCTATTTTAGTTCCTCTGAAGAAGGCGATGCAGCAGAGCGCGCCACCGTAATGGTCTCCACCACGTTATATGAGAGTTACAGGGCCCTGGTGGTGAGCGCCGGCGCTGCTTTGAACAGTGAGACGCGGCGCTCACAGAATTTGGCTCAGTGCCACCGCCATTGTCACTGACTTTGCAACGACTCCGACAGGGAGGTCCAGGGGATCGAGGTCCGAAGGGGTACCTTTAGAAAACACTTTTCGTATTTCTCACAAATTAGCCAATTTGTTTTGTGGGAAAGTTGGCAATCCTGACCTGCAGTTGCACCCGGCGACACTAGCGCTTCCTATAGTAGCAACCTCGAGCTTTGTCCCCGGTTTTGACGGAGAGTTGCCGGGCCCTGCTCACCATCACGTCCCTGGCGATGGCGTAGCACACGTAGAGCTGGTTGGAGACGTCCGCGTGATCGCCGCGCGTCATGCCTTCCCCGACCGCCGACTTCATGAGTCGGCTGAGAGAGGGCAGCACGTTGATGGGCGGGTAGATCTGCTTGTTGTGCAGCTGGCGGTCCACGTAGATCTGCCCCTCGGTGATGTAGCCCGTCAGGTCGGGGATGGGGTGGGTGATGTCGTCGTTGGGCATCGTCAGGATGGGGATCTGGAGAAGATTTCCCCCTCACCAACAGTGCCCACGAATGACGCGTTTTTTTTGTTTTTTTGTTTTTTTTTAATGTTTGAATGTTCTCTTAACAGCATTTGATGCCGTTATTCGGCATTGAACGCCAAGTAATTCTAGTTGAACGAAATCGTACGTTATTAAATGGAGTAATTATTTTTGAGTTTTTATCAGTTTCGCCGTTAGTATCCTGGGATTCCAGAAGATTGTGTTACAAGAGTTATACAGAGACCCTTAGTCAAGGCCGAATTTAAGTAGTGCGGGGCCCCAAGCACAGAATTGTGTCCCCCCCCCGAAAAAATAGCTCCATCTTTATTAAATAAAAAAATTATTACAGTATAAGTACTATCTGTACAGATACAAATGAAAACTGATATTTTTTTATAGAAAATTTTTACTTTTGTTACATTTTGTTACACAGACTACTTGATTAACAATTATTTCACAGACAAAAAAATATGGTATGCGTATTTTTCCGAAACACGGGGCCCCTGGTGAATGGGGGCCCCCAAGCAACTGCTTGTTTTGCTTGTAGATAAATCCGGCCCTGCCCTTAGTGTCGAGCTGCTTAACCTCTCGGAGAGTGGTTATGCTGTTAAGAAAAGTGGTCCAGGGAGAGTGTTTAAGTATTTCGGATACCGAGGCCTATTTCTCACTTGAGCTGGCACAGCAAAGAAAAAAAAACGGTTGGAAAACGCTCACCATAGTTCACGGATTACTCCAGAATTACAGTTCATCCGCGTATTAGCAGGTAGCAATGAATTACCACGCTTTTGCCACGTGGTGACAGTGTCGCGTTAACACAAGGTGCCCTTTGGCCCTCAATAATTATTAAAAAATATTTAATACTTAATTTATCAAAAATAAAATAAAAAACGTATGAAAAATAAATACATGATTAAACTATGCAAACATTAGCATAACTAAGTGATGTGTTGCGCAACATTGCATAACATTTATAATACGGAATGTTGCTCGTTTCAATTTTATATTGTATATTTCAATAACGAATTAAAACTATTCAATTTGTCTTTTTCAATGGAATCATACATTGAAACGTGTGTGTATATGTGTGTATGTATGTATGTATGTATATATATATATATATATATATATATATATATATATATATATAT